GCCTGGGAAACATGCTGAAACGCTGTCTCTACTAAAAATACAAAAACTAGCTGGGCGTGGTGGCACGCATCTGTAATCCCAGCTACTTGGAAAGTTGAGGCAGCAGAATCGCTTGAACCTGGGAGGCAGAGGTTGCAATGAACCAAGATCGTGCCACTGCACTCCAGCCTGGGTGACAGAATGAGAGTCCATCTCAAAAATAAAATAAAACAGTATGTGTGTGTGTGTGTGTGTGTGTGTGTGTGCGCGTGCGCGCAAGTGTATATATAAAAAACCTCAAACTATGAAAGTGTAGAAAGGAAACATTGAGGAAACTCCCCAAGACATTGGGCTGGACAAAGATTTCTTAAGTAATACTCCACAAGCACAGGCAAGCAAAGTAAAACATGGACAAATGGGATCACATCAAGTTAAAAAGCGTCTGCAGAATGAAGCAAACAGTCCACAAAGTGAAAAGACAACCCACAAAATAGGATAAAATATATACAAACTATCCATTTGACAAGGGATTAATAACCAGAATATATAAGGAGCTCAAACAACTCTATAGAAAAAAAATCTAATAATCCAATTAAAAATGGCCAAAAGATCTGAACAGGCATTTCTTAAAGGAAGACATACAAATGGCAAATAGGCATATGAAAAGGTGCTCAGTATCACTGATCGTCAGAGAAATGCTAATCAAAATTATGACAAGATGTCATCTCATTCCAGCTAAAATGGCTTTTATGCAAAAACTAGGCAATCATGAATGCTAGTGAGCATGTAAAGAAAAGGGAACCACCACAGACTGATGACGGGAATGTAAATTAGTACAACCACTATGGAGAACTGTTTGGAGGTTCCCCAAAATACTAAAAGTAGAACTATCATATAATCCAGCAATCCCCCTGCTAGGTATACACCCAAAATATGAGGAAATCAGTGTATCAAAGAGATATTTGCATTCCCATTTATTGCAGCACTATTCACAATAGCTGAGATTTGGAAGCAACCTAAGTGTTCATCAGCAGACAAATGGATAAGGAAGATGTGGTAGTTATACATGATGGAGTACTATTTGGCCATAATAAAAGAAGGGGACCCTGTCATTTGCAGTAACATGGATAGAACTGGAGGTCATTATGTTAAGTAGGCCAGGCACAGAAAGACAAACTTCACATGTTCTCACTTATTTGTAGGAGCTAAAAATTAAAACAATCCAATTCATAGAGATAGAAAGTAGAATGACGGTTACCAGAGGCTGGGAAGGATAGTGGGAGAGATAGGAGAGGGGATGGTTAATGGGTACAAAATACAATTAGATAGAAAGAATAAGCTACTATCTGATAGCACAACAGGGTGACTACAGTCAACAATAATGTACTGTATATTTTTATTGTAAATAACTAAAATAATATAATTGGATTGTTTGTAACACAAAGACAGAATAAATGCTTGAGGTGATGGATATATTTACCCTTATGTGATTATTATACATGGTATGCCTGTATCAAAATATCTCATGTACCCTATAAATATATACACCTACTATGTACCCACAAAATGGAAAATTAAAAAAAAAAGCTGGAGTAGTTATATTAATTTCAGACATAGCAGACTTCAAAGCAATGAAAATTATCAAGAATAAAGAGGACCATTACATAATAATAAGACGGTCAGTCCTCCAAGCAGCCATAACAATTCTTAACGTGTATGCAACTAACAACAGAGCATCAAAATACATATGGCAGAAACTGATAGAACTGCAAGGAAAAATAGATGAATCCACTATTATAGTTGGAGATTTCAATACCCCTCTATTACACACAGCAGATAGAAAAATCAATAAAGATATAGTTGAACTCAACAGAGCCAAGAGGCCAGTTCCAAAAGGGAATAATAAAAACAGAACAGGCAGTACTCTAGCAATTTGGAAATCCTGATGAGCAGCTATTGCAAGGCTTTCCCACCCTAGAGATGGGAACTTTTTCATGATTGGGTCCAGGTCTGCTCCCTGGGTGGTGGGCTGCAGGGGGGCGGGGGGGTGCTCCCTGATTATTGTTTTTAGGCCCTTGGCCCTATGCTCTGGAAGATTCTTCCTTCTCCTTTTCCTTTTCACCATATCTAAATTGAGCATTGGCGAATATGCCCTCCCTTGCAGCTGCACTGGGACACAAAACTTGTGCAACTGCTCAGATTCCTTTGACAGCTTCCTCCAACCACAATTCCAGAAACCTGCCTTGAAGGCATCCTTTCAAAGGACAAAACAACATATATACAAGGACATTAATTGCAGCCTTATTTGTAATATCAAAAGACTGGAAACAATTCAAATGTTCATCAAGTATTAAAGTATTATTCTAGTTGGTTGAATACATTATAGTACATTTATACAATGAAATACTGATGCAGCTGTAAAAAGAATGAGGAAGATCTCTCTGAACTGAAGTGACCGCCAGAATATATTGTTAAGTGAGACAAGCAAGATGCAGAACAATGCATATAGTATGCCAACTTTTGTGTAAGAAAAAAGTTATATATATATACGTGTGTGTGTGTGTGCACGCACACACACACACACACACACAGAGAGAGAGAGAGAGGATTGCAGGCAAGAACCTACAAGATGACCTTGCCTTTAACTGACATGGGGGCAACAGTGAGAGGAGGAGGTTGGGGGCACACCAGGATTCAGACTTGAACATGCTAAACTCAGGATGCCAGTTACGCATCCATCCAATCAGAGATGTTGAACAATTAGTTGGATTTATGAGTCTGAGGGCCAGAAAGGGTCTGAATTGGAGACGTAATTATTAGAGTCACTGGCATACAGCTGGTGTTTAAACCCATGAGGCAGGATGAGATCACTAAGGAGACATACATAAGAAAGAGGAAAGCCCTGGAGCCTGAACCTTAGGGCCCTCCAATATTCAGTGGTCAGGGAAATGAGGATGAACCAGCCAGCAAGAAGAGAGGAGAGGGCCAAGTGAGTGGAAAGTTTCTCAAGGAGAAAATGACTACCTGTGCAGAATCAGATAGGGACAGAGAATGACCATTGGCCTTAGCAACTGACCTTGCCAAGAGCAGTTTCAGAGGAGGCGAGGAGGAGTCCTGATCAGAGAAGCTTTAAGGGGAAATGGAAGCCCACATATTGGGATAGTGAGTATAGTTATATTTTTTAAGAGTTCATCGCTGAAGAGTAGTGGGAAAAGAGACATGGAGTCAAGAGAAGATCAACATTTTAAGATAGGAGAAATGATAGCATGTTTGTATGCTGATGGTCCAGTAGCGGGACAAACTGATGATAGCAAAAGTGAGTCTTATCATATCATTTATAAATATGAGGGAAATGATACTTTGGGAGGCAGTTAGGAAAAGTTAAAACTGTTGGCCAATAGGACGTCCATCCCCACCACGTCCTAGAATGAGCACAGCATGTCTCTGGCCCTGCCCATCAATAGCCACAAAGCTGTGAACAGCTTCTGTCCCAGCCACTGGGGAGACAGGCTGCCACAGAGGGACAATAAAAGTGAAACCACCTCCATTAATCAGTGTACAGGATTAGATATGAATGGCTGAAGCCTTGCCAAAAAGCTCCAACTCTGACAACTGACCAGGAAAATCAAAAGGCTTTTAAGCAAAAACATGTCTCTGAGAGCTTCTATGATGCCTGCCTGAAAAAACGGTCACAGAGCTCACAGACACAGCTGTCTAGTCCAAGGGCAGAAAGCAGAGTTCTCCACAGAACCCACTACTGCTGGGAAAGAGAGGAGCAGACTGAGGGGCTACAAAAAACAGGCCCCTGGATGAAGAAATATCTCTCTCCTTTCTCACTCATAGTTGTGTGGTTCATACACTAGCCCTTGTGACAACTTGCTTTGACCAACAGAATGTAATAGATGTTATGGAGTTTGGGATCTGCGCTTAGGCCTCAATAAGCCATGCATGCTCTTATTTACTCCCTCAGAGCCCTGTGGGGCTGCCATGAAAACAAGCCTGTGCTAGCCTGCCAACTATGAGGGACCACACAAAGTAGAGACAAGCCATCCTGGACCTAGACCAGCCAGCCTCAGCCAACACAGAAGTTGGCTGCAGTTGAATGTGTGAGCCCAACTGAGAACAGAAGAACCACCCCACTGATCTCAGTCCAAATTGCAAACCCACAGAATTGTGAGCTCATAAACAGCTGCTATTTTAAGCAGCAAACACTAACTTACATACCCAACTAATATCCACAGGTGAGCAAGTAGAATTCAGTGACTATTGGTTTACAATATATCTTTGGTTAAGAATTACTCAGTGAGACTTTAAACCTCAATTTTTGGCATTGCTACAATAGAGTATGGGCTGAGGTCAGTCTTGGGGATGAAAGGCAAAGCCTCAAGGATGGAAACAGCAAGGGTGGGAGTATGCTCAGAGGTGAACATGAAGAATGGCATGCTGCTATGTTTGAATGTTCCCTATAAAACTCATGTTGAAATTTAATTGCCATTGTAACAGTACTAAGGGATGGGTCTGTGGAGAGGTAATTAGGCCATGATGACTCTGACTTCATGAATGAATTAATGCCATGATTGTGGAAGTACGTTAATTATCGTGGGAATGAGTTCACTGTAGAGGAGCACATTTGTTCTTCCCTCTCTTGTGTGCACTTTATCTCTTGCCCTCTCACCTTCTGCCATGTAATGATGCAGCAAGAAGCCCTCATGAGATGCCAACCCCTTGATTCTGGACTTAGACTCCAGGACCATAAAAAATAAATTTCTGTTTATTATAAATTACCTAATCTCAGTTATTGTTATAGCAGCACAAAATAGACTAAGATACACACCCAGCACCATTCCATGCCACACTCCGGAGATCAGGCCTGTGATCCTCATATCTCCAGAGACCCACTAGCTCCAGTGCACAGAGTCCAGTCTTCCTAGGGGTCTGTGTGACCCTCTTCGTTGAGGCAGGACCTCCTCGAACCTCATACAACAAATGCGTACCCCTCCTCAATGCTTACATTTCCTTACCTTGTCCATTAGATTCTAGCCAGCATGATCCTGCCTCTATCCACAAAGACTCACAGCAAGCACAACAAGCACTTCCCGCTTCTGCAAAGGATGCATTCTGAGGATGCGTACCAAGAAGGAGAGTGCAGAACTCGACATGACTCCCTTACATGTTGGCGAACATGCTGAGCTGCTTATCCAACATCCTCATCCCTTTCTCCCCTACAAAGAGAACAGGTAGAAATGTGCCCAGATAAAGACTACATATCCCAAACTCCCTTACAGTGAGAGGAGTCATTCATTCATCCCTCTAGAACTTATTGAATACCTACTGGGTTTCAGGCAAGTTCTGGAGATGCCCCAGTGAACATAACAGATTAAGTGTTTGTCCTCATGGAGTCACATGGTAGTAGGGAGAAAGGGTGACAATAGGCAAATGCCCAAGAAAATAATGTAGAAACAGTATATCACATGGTGATGACTGCTTCAAAAATACATAGAGTAGGGTACAGGAAATCGAGTTTGCACAGCAAGAGTGAGAGCACTATTTTTTGTAAGATAGTCAAAGAGGACCTCTCCGAAAATGTCTTTTTTTTTTTTTTTTTTTTTTTTTTTGAGATGGAGTCTCACTCTGTTGCCCAGGCTGGAGTGCAGTGGCATGATCTCAGCTCACTGCAACCTCTGCCTCCCAGGTTCAAACGATTCTTCTGCCTCAGCCTCCCGAGTAGCTTGGATCACAGGTACCCGCCACTATGCCTGGCTAATTTTTGTATTTTTAGTAGAGATGGGCTAGTAGAGACGTTTGCCAGGCTGGTCTCAAACTTCTGATCTCAGGTGATCCACCCACCTTGGCCTCCCAAAGTGCTGGGATTACAGGCATGAGCCACCATACCCGGATGAAAATGTCATAATTGAGCAGACATCTGACAAAGATGTTAGAAGCACAACACATAATATCCAGTGCAAGAGCATTTCAGTTGGAGGCAACAGCAAATGCAAAGGCCCTGAGGTAAGAACGTGCCTCAAGGTACTGCAAGGAGAATAGTGTGGCTGAGTAGTGGGAGCAAGCAGCAGAATACCAGGCAATCAGAGAAGTGTCCCACAGGGCTTTTCTGGCCACTAAAAGAATGAGACGGGGTCTCCTGTGGCAGGGGGTTGAACAGAAAGTGACATGGCCTGACTTCAGTTTTAGAAAGATTACTCTTACCGGCACATTGATAAAAGATTTTAAAGGCCAAAGGCAGAAACAGGAGACAGTGCAATAGGCCATTTTCTTTTTTTTATATTATTATTATTATTATTATTATTATTATTTGAGATGGAGTCTCGCTCTATTGCCCAGGCTGGAGTGCAGTGGAGCAATCTCGGCTCACTGCAAGCTCCACCTCCTGGGTTCACACCATTCTCCTGCCTCAGCCTCCCAAGTAGCTGGGACTACAAGCACCTGCCACCACGCTTGGCTAATTTTTTTGTATTTTTAGTAGAGACAGGGTTTCACCGCGTTAGCCAGGATGGTCTCGATCTCCTGACCTCGTGCCGCATTAGCCAAGATGGTCTCGATTTCCTGACCTCGTGATCCGCCTGCCTTGGCCTCCCAAAGTGCTGGGATTATAGGTGTGAGCCACCGCACCCGGCCACAAAAGGCCATTTTCTTAATATAGTTTTAAAATGATGATGGTTTGGATCAGGGTGATGGCAGTGAAAGCAGAAAGCAGCAGTTAGAATCCACGTACATTTCTAAAGCAGAGACAGCAGGATTTGCTGGTGGACTGAAATGTGCAGCGAGCGAGAAAGAGGGGAGTATAGGGTTTCAGCCTGAGCACCTGGAAGGATGGAACTGCCATTCACCAAGAAGATGAGGTGCCCACTGGACGTCTGTTACAGACTGAATTGTGCCCTCACCAAAGTTTTATGTTGAGGTCCTAGCTCCCAATGTGACTGTATTTGGAGACAGGGCCTTATCAAGGTAATTAAGATTAAATTAGGGCCAAGTACAGTGGCTCATGCCTAGAATCCCAGCACTTTGGGAGACCAAGGCAGGAGGATTGCTTGATGCCAGGAGTTTAAGACCAGCCTGGGCAATATAAAGAGACTCCATTTCTACAAAAAAATTTAAAATGTAACTGGGTGTGGTGGTATGCACCTGTAGTCCTCACTACTCAGAAGACTAAGGCAGGAGGATCACTTGAACCCAGGAGTTCAAGGTTGCAGTAAGCTGTGATTATATCATGCCACTGCAGTCCAGCCAGGGCGACAGAGCTAAACCCTGTCTCAAAAAGAAAAAAAAAAAAAAAAAGGTCATGAGGGTGGGGTCCTAATCCGATATGAAATAAAAGGCCTCACAGACACATGGAAGTGGCCATGAGCAAGTCAGAAAAAGAGGCCTCAGAAGAAAGCAAGACTGCCTAAAACCTGATCAGGGACTTCCAGCTTCCAGAACTGTGAGAAAATAAGTTTCTGTTGTTCATCATGGTTTTTTGTTATGGCAACTTGAGCTGTCTGATAAAACATTCAAGTGGAGATGTGAAGTCAGCAGTTACCTAGACACGGCTGGAGTTTGGTGGCGAACTCTGAGCTGGAGATGCATAGCTGGGAGTTGTCAGCCCTTCGATGGTCTCTGAAGCCGTGAGACTGAATGAGTTCATCTAGGGAGTGAGTCCGGGGAGAGGCTTCAGCAGTGATCCTCGGGGCACTTTACACAGGTTGGGGAATGAGAGGTGGCAGCAAAGGAGACTGCGAAAGTAGCGGCCAGTGGGGAGAGGTGAGAAAGAACACCCAGAAGCCAAGAGGAGGGAGTGGCAAACTGTCACATGCTGATGAGAGTTTGAGCAAGATGAACACTGAAAACCAATCATTGGGTGTGGCAAGACGGAGGTCGCTGGTGACCTGGAAAAGAGTCATCTTAGTGTAATTGTGGAGTGAATCCCTGACTTAAGTGGTTCAGAAAAAAAGGTGGCAAGAAAGAGTCTGGGGACAGACAGTGCAGGCAACTCTTTCCAGAAAGGCCTAATAGAAAGTAAATCAATGAAGCGGGTGTTGAAAGGTATGTGGGGATCAGGCAGAAATGTGTTATTGTTCATTTTGTTTCGTGTTTGAGTGGGAGCAATTACAGCATGTTTATAGGTGAGAGGATGCAGGCTCCGTAGAAAAGTGAGGCATTGGCTTCAGATAAGAGCATTGGATTCAACTACAGAAACAGGAGGGATGGTACAGTTTATGGGACCAATGAAAATAAGTTTGAAGGCCGGGCGGGCGGCTCACGCCATAATCCCAGCACTTTGGGAGGCCGAGGCGGGCAGATCACAAGATTAGGAGATCAAGACCATCCTGGCCAACATGGTGAAACCCTGTCTCTACTAAAATACAAAAAATTAGCTGGGCGTCGTGGCACGCGCCTATAGTCCCAGCTACCCGGGAGGCTGAGGCAGGAGAATGGCATGAACCCGGGAGGCGGAGCTTGCAGTGAGCTGAGATGGTGCCACTGCACTCCAGCCTGGTGACAGAGCAAGACTCCATCTCAAAAAAAATCAATAAATAAAATAAAAATAAGTTTGAAGAAGTGGTGGGGAAATAACCTTCCTCTTCTCCAATTGCCTCTATCTTCTCAGTGCAGTAGGAACCTTGGACTTCAGAGGAGTGAGGAATGAGGAGGAGGTACTGGAGGTGTGAGGAAAGACAGCATCATGTATGTGCTGTGAGAGTGCAGGGACAAGGGAACATGGGAAGTTTCAGGGCCACATGAAGGGCCCCATTTGAAGTTAGTGGTTGTGAATCTCAAGTGGGCAAGTGAGCACAATCCAGCAGATTCTCCAGTCTCCTCCAGCTGCCAGGCAAGGAGTGAGTGGAGGTTGGATGGAACCGGGGTAAGGGTTTTGCCAGACAAGTTCGATGGAGGGAGACAGGCATGGCAGCTGAAAATGTGTGACAGTAATGCTGGGCTATGGAATCTGGGATGGCCAAGGAGAAGTGTGAGGAAACAAGCAATAGGGACAAGGCTGGTGGAAGGGCAGGAGTAGGAACAATATATCTTAAATCTGTCCTTCGGTGTTGAAAAATGTTGAGTCATGCCAAAAGAGGGAAGTAGTCAGTTGGAGAACAGGAGGCACAAAATTACAAAAATTACAATGGAGACATTGCTGGTTCTATTCCAGACCACTCCATTAAGGTGAATATCACAATAAAGTGAGTCACACAAATGTTTTAGTTTCCAAGTGCATATAAAAGTTGTGTTCATACTTTACTTTAGACTATTAAGTGTGCAGTAGCACTATGTCTAAAAACAGCAATGTGCATACCTTAATTTAAAAATACTCTATTGCTAAGAAACACTAACAGTCATCTGCACCTTCAGCTAGTCAGTGTTTTTGCTGGTGAGGGGTCTTGCCTTGATGTTGATGGCTGCTGACTGATCGTGGTGGTGGTTGTGAAGGCTGGGGTGGCTGTGGCAATTTCTTAAAATAAGACACCAGTGAAGTTTGCCACATCGATTGACTCTTCCTTTCACAAAAGATTTCTCAGTAGCATGTAATGCTCTCTGACAGCCTTTTACTCACCATAGAACTGCTTTCAAAATTGGAGTCAATCTTCTCCAACCCTGCTGCTGCTTTCCCAACTAAGTTTATGTAACATTCTAAACTGTTGTTATTTCAACAATGCTCACAGCATCTTCACCAGAAGGAAATTCTAGCTCAAGAAACCACTTCTTTGTTCATCCATAAGAAGCAACTCCCCATCCATTTAAAATTTGTCATGAGATTCCAGCAATCCAGTCATGTCTTCAGGCTCCACTTCTAATTCTAGTTCTCTTGCTATTTCTACAACATCTGCAGCTACTTCCTCCACTGAAGTCTTGAATCCTTCCAAGTAATTCGTGAGGGCTAGAATCAACTTCTTCCAAACTCCTGTTAATGTTGATATTTTGACCTCTTCCCATGAACCACAAACGTTCTTAATGGTATCTAGAATGATGAATACTTTCCAAAAGGTTTTCAATTTACTTTGCCCAGATCATTCAGGGGAATTACTATCTATGGCCACTATAGCCTTATGAAATATATTCCTTAACTATTGAGACTTGAAAGTCAACATTACTCCTTGATCCAGGGGCTGCAAAATGGATGTTGTGTTAGCAGGCATAAAACAACTTAATGACTTTGTACATCTCTATCAGAGCTCTTGAGTGACCAGGTACATTGTCAGTATTTGAAAGGAATCTTTTTTCTGAGCAGTAGGTCTCAACAATGGGTTTCACATATTCAGTAAACCATGCTGTAAACAGATGTGCTGCCATCCAGGCCTTGTTTCATTTCTAGAGCACAGAATAGAGTTAGGGTAATTCTGAAGGGCCCTAGGATTTTTGGAATGGTAAATGAGCATTGGTTTCAACTGAGAGTCACAGGCTGCACTAGCCCCTAACGAGAGCGTCAGCCTGTGTTTTAAAGCTTCGAAGCTCTGCATTGACTTCTCCTCTCTAGCTATGAAAGTCCTAGATGGCATCTTCTTCAAATAGAAGGCTGTTTCATCTACATTGAAAATCTGTTGTTTAGTGCAGCCACCTTCATCAATGATCTTAGCTAGCTCTTCTGGATAACTTGCTGCAGCTCCTACATTTTGCTCCTACTTTCTGCTTCGCCTTACACTTTTATGTTATAGAGATGGATTCTGTCCTTAAACCTCATAAACCAACCAGTGCTAGATTCCAGCTTTTCTCCTGCGGCTTCCTCACCCCTCTCAGCCTTCACAGAATTGAGGCAAGTTAGAGCCTTGCTCTGGATTAGGCTTTGGTTTAAGGGAATGTTGTGGCTGGTTTGATCTTTCATCCAGACCACTAAAACTTCCTCCATTTCAGCAATAAAGCTGTTTCACTTTCTTATCATTCATGTGTTCACTGGAGTAGCACTTTTAATTTCCTTCAAGAACTTTTCCTTTGCATTTACTACTTGGCTATTTGGCACAAGAGGCCTCGCTTTCAGCCTATCTCAGCTTTTTTACATGCCCTCCTCACTAAGCTTAATCATTTCTAGCTTTTGATTCAAAGTGAGAGGCATGCAACTCTTCCTTTCACTTGCAGGCCACTGTGGGGTTATTAATTGGCCTAATTTCAACACTGCTTGCATGTCAAGGAATAGGGAGGCCTGAGGAGAGGGAGAGAGACTGGGGAACACAGGTCGGTGGAGCTGTTAGCACACACACAACATTTATCAATTCAGTTTGCTTTCTTATATGGGTGCAGTTCGTGGAAGCCTAAAATAATTACAATAGTAACATCAAGAATCACTGATTATATAATAGTAATAATGATATAATAGTAATAATAGATATAATAGTAATAATGAAAAGTTTCAAATATTGTGAGAAATACCAAAATGTGACAGAGCACATGATGTTGGAAATATGACACCAATAGACTTGCTCAATGCAAGGTTCCCACAAACTTTCAATTTGTAAAAAACACAGTATCTGCAAAATTCAGTAAAGCAAAATGCAATAAACCAAGATGTGTCTGTACACTGTGTAGGAATGCAGATGCCAAGAGTTGCAGAGCTCAGAGATTTTAGGAAAGGAGGAAACAGCAGCCTGGAAACTGCAAGGTGGACACTGGCGCCATGAAAGAGTTGCTTTGATCCAAGAGGGATGGGAATAAAAACGCAACCCCTTTTCCTCTCCCTGACACACCACCTGGAAAGAGTTGCAGGGGAATTGGAGTCTCAGAGGCATAAGATTTTCCCTTAAATCAAGAAAGAAAAAGAAAGTTTAGGGGTGGAGAACTGGAGAGATTTTGCTTGTGATTTGGCATGAATTTGAGAGGGCGCAGTGGAAACTTTCGGAATCACTAAGTCTAGGACTCAAATCCTACCTTTCCAGTTATTGGCCATGTAGCTTTTGGCACACTTATTGACCTCTGGGATGACCCAGGTTCCTTGCCTATGGCTGTTGTGAAAGATCAAGAAAATAAGGCATGCAGAGTGCCTGGTATAAAGTGGCAGTCAGCCAGGGCCACACTTCTGATGCTCAAACATGTTTCAATGACCATCTTATCAGTTGTCTTCAAAGCAAAAGCTCTTTCTTCCTCCTGGCTGCTCATGCTTGCACTCTTTTGCCCTCTCTCTCCCAACTACCTCCTCCTCCTCTCCACACCCCAACCATAGTTAAGCAATTCTAACATATCCCATTCTCCCAAGGAAAAATCCAGTTGTATGTTATCACAAGATCACAATGCACCTGACATTTTCTGATCTTTAGGCATTTTCTTGAAGCATCTATACTTACTATGGCTCAACAAAACTCAGTTTCAACTTTTTTTTTTTTTTGGAGACAGGGTCTTGCTCTGTCACCCAGGCTGGAGTGCAGTGGTGCGATCATGGCTCACTGCAACCTTGACCTCTCAGGCTCAAGTGATCCTCCCACCTCCGCCTCCAGAGTAGCAGGAACTACAGGCTCATGCCACCATGCCTGGCTAATTTCTTTTTATTTTTCTTTCTTTTTTTTTTTTTTTTTTGTTGTTGTTATTGTTTTTTGGGTGTTATTTTTTGTTTGTTTTTTGGTTTTTTTTGGTGGTGGTGGAGATGGGGTCTTATCACGTTGCCCAGGCTGGTCTTGAATTCCTGGATTCAAGCCATCCTCCCACCTTGGCCTCTCAAAGTGCAGACCTTACAGGTGTGAGCCACGACTCCCTGCCTCAACTTTTAAAATAGCTATTGAATGTGGTTAAAGGTGAATCCTAATTAGTAAAATGACGATGACAATACCTCCATCCTGGGAGGGCTTAAATTAGCCTGTAGAGCAAGAGTTATTTATGCTGAGCCCAAAAGGAGCAGATGCTCCATAAATGCTCCTTTCTCCTCCTTCTCCTTTCTTCTTAAAAGAGATGCCCAACGCGCACAAGGAGGCTGTGTCTCTGATATGCTTCAGGTTGCCCCTGTAACGTGAATTGGGAAAAGGCAATAGCTATTTCATCCTCAAAGTGCATCTGATGTCTCCTCCCTGTGTCCCTGCTCCCTGGCTGTCTGTCCATCACTGGCTCTGTAGGGAGTGCCTAGGGCTGCCTTGACGCCTCGTTCATGACCTCATCATCTATGCCTTGACCTTGGTATCACTTCAAGAGTTTAACTTCCAGCTGATATTTGGTAGAGCAAATCTTCCCTCTCACCGCTCCTATTCAACATGGTATTGGAAGTCCTAGCCAGAGTAATCAGGCAAGAGAAAGAAATGAAGGGCGTCCAAACAGGAAAAGAGGAAGTCAAACCCTCCCTGTTTGCAGAGGACATGATTCTATGTCTAGAAAACCCTACAGTCTCAGCCCCAAAGCTCCTTCAACTGATAAACAACTTCAGCAAAGTTTCAGGATACAAAATCAATGTACAAAAATCACTAGCTTTCCTATACATCCACAACAGCCAAGCCAAGAGTCAAATCAGGAAGGCAATCCCATTCACAATTGCCACAAAAAGAATAAAATACCTATGAATACAGCTAACCAGGGAGATTAAAGATCTCTACAGTGAAAATTCCAAAACACTGCTCAAAGAAATCAGAGAAGACACAAACAAATGGAAAAAGAGCCCATGCTCATAGATACAAAGATTCAATATCATTAAAATGACCACTCTGCCCAAAGAATTTATTTACAGACTGAATGCTACTATTTTTATCAAACTACCAATGAGAACTAGAAAAAACTATTTTAAATTTCAAAGGGAACCCAAAAAGAGCCCAAATAGCCCAGGCAATCCTAAGCAAAAAGAACAAAGCTGGAAGCATCATGTTAGCCAATTTCAAACTATGCTACAGGACTACAGTAACAACAACGACAACGACAAAAACCATAGTACTGGTACAAAAACAGACACATAAACCAATGGAACAGAATAGAGAGCCCAGAAATAAGGCTGCACACCTATAACCATCTGATCTTTGACAAAGCTAACAAAAACAAGCAATGGGGAAAAGACTCCCTGTTCAATCAATAGTACTTGGATAACGGGCTGGTCATATGCAGAAAACTGAAGCTGGATTCCTTCCTTACATCATATACAACAATCAACTCAAGATGGATTAAAGACTTAAATGTAAAACTCAAAACTATAAAAACCCAGAAGACAACCTGATCAATACCATTCCGGACATAGGCACAGGCAAAGATTTCATGACAAGATACCAAAAAGCAATCTCTACAAAAACAAAAAGTGACAAATGGGATCTAATTAAACTAAAGAACTTCTACAGCAAAAGAAACTATCAACAGAATAAACAGACAACCTACAGAATGGGAGAAAATATTTGCAAACTATGCATCGGACAAAGGTCTAATATCCAGCATCTATAAGGAACTTAAACAAATTTACAAGAGAAAAACAAACAACCCCATTAAAGGATGGGCAAAGGACATAAACAGACACTTTTCAAAAGAAGACATACATGTGGCCAACAAAACAAGCATAAAAAAAAAAAGCTCACTATCACTGATCATTAGAGAAATGCAAATCAAAACCACAATGAGGTACTATCACTTACCAATCAAAATGGCTATTATTAAAAAGTTAAAAAATAACAGATGCTGGTGCGGTTGCAGAGAAAAGGGAACACTTATACACTGTTGGTAGGAGTGCAAATTAGCTCAACCATTGTGGACAGCAGTGTGGCAATTCCTCCAAGAGCTAAAGGCAGAACTTCCATCCAACCCAGCAATCCCATTATTAGGTATATACCCAGAGGAATATAAATCATTCTACCATAAAGACACATGCATACAAAGGTTTATTGTATGCTATTCGCAATCGCAAAGACATGGTTGACTATTGGGTACTGGGCTTAATACCTGGGTGATGAAATAATCTGTACAACAAACCCCTGTGACATGAGTTCACCTATGTAACAAACCTGCACGTGTACCTCTGAACCTAAAAGTTTAAAAAAGAAGTTGATAGCCTAGATATATGCCCAAGAGCACTGAAAACATATGTTCACATAAAAGCTTGTATAGCAATGTTCACGGGAGCATTATTCACAAATAGCCAAAAAGTGGAAGCAATCATATGTCCATCAATTGAAGAATGGATGGATAAAATGTGGTCTGTCCGTACAAAGGGATATTACTGACAGTAAAAAGAAATGAAGTTCTTACACATGCTACAACATGGATGACCCTTGAAAATATGGTGCTACTTTAAAAAGTCAGTCACAAAAGGCCACATATGATTGATTCCATTTCTAGGAAAGCAATGGGGAAAACACTCCCTATTGTCCAGAATAGGCAAATCTACATAGATAGAAAGTAGATTAATGGTTGCACCAGGGTGAAGGGGTTAGGGAAGGAGGGAAATGAGAAGTGACTGCTAGAGGTTGCAGGATTTCTTTGGTGGTGATGACAGTTTTCTAAAATTAGATTGTAGTGATGATTGTAAAACTATGATTATACTAAAAACAATTGAATTGTATACTTTAAATTGGGACACTGTATGGTATGTGAATTACATCTCAATAAAAATTTTTATAATACCTTATTAATATCTGTCATGCCCCTGTGGATTGACTGGGCTCAGCTGAGTGATTGTCACTTGGGATTTCTCATATAGTTTGGTCAGATGGTGGCTGGGGCTGGCTCTTGGGAAGGCTTTATACTTCCTAGGCTGAGAGAGCTACAATCTCTCAGGACTGACCAGGCATCTCTCTCCACATGGCTAGCTTGAGTTTTCTTACAAGTATGGCAGTCTGCGAGCAGTCAGACTACTTATATGATGGTTAACTCCTCTCAAAGTGAACCTTCCAGGAAAAGGAGGTAAAGTTTAAGACCAGCTTGGCCAACAAGGTGAAAACCTGTCTCTACAAAAAATACAAAAACTAACCAGCCACATTTGAATTTAGGTGAGTAATTGATTACTTTGACCAATAGAATGTGGCAGAGTGACAGTGAGTCAGTTTCTGGTTCCAGGGTCTAAAAGACTGAGACTTTGAGATTTATAAGTAAATAAAATAAGAAAGAGTGGATTAGCTCTAAGTGAGCAGGAGAACCCAGCACTGTGCCTTTCATCCTCCCCCTCCTTCCATCACCCCAGTCCCTGCAGAGTTCCCTGAAGCACTCCTTTGGAACTGAAGGGCTACACAAAACCTAGCTTGAAAATTGCGTATTTAGAGTTGTAATGGCGAACAGCTTTTATGTGGTGTCTGAACTCAATCGATGGGCAGCAGCCGTGGAGGACTGCGTTGAAAAGTGTTTTGGTAAACTGATTGCTTTAAGTGCCCCAAATTTTCACCCCTCACTGTATTCACACCCTTATAATGTGACTTTTGGGCTCCTCCCATCGAGAGATGGTGTGAATCTCCCCCTTCATTCTGAGTTTGGCCAATGTTGTGACATGGTAGAAGCTTCAAAAATGCCAGCAGGTTGCCACTTCTGCTCTTGCATGTCCACCTTTGCTATGAGAACATGCCCAGCCAGCCTCTGGAAGGATCCAGAGTTTTCCAGAAAGTTTTCCCTGCACGGCCAAGGCTTCCCAGCTAAGCCCCAGACAGGTGACCCCCAACTGACAGCCCGCGCCACCCTGCAGGTCACATGAGGAAGCCTAGCCAAAACAGTCATCCAGCCTGAATCACTGACCCAAAGACTCTCTTGGGCTAAACAGACACTTGTTATAAGCCACTGAATTCTGGGTGGCTTGTTATGCGTTGATTGTGGCAATAGATCACTGAGACATGTGTTGATAGTTATGTCTGCCATGGGCACAGGAAGGCAGCCAGCTGCATCCCTGCCAGGCATTCTGGGAGAACTGACGGACTGCCTGGGCTTCAAAGCATTCTCCACATCCTTCCATCTCTGGTTTTTTCACATATTACACACCACGGGCAAAAGTCCCGTTTCAGGGATTCGCCCAAGATCCCTGTGGTAGCGTCCGGGGGTGGGTTCAGTCATGAACCTCCTAAGAAATACTTGGAAAGTCAGCAGGCGGAAGTGAGGCTGGGTTTGGCACCTGCTACTTAGCCATCATTCCACAATCCAAAACTGGGCAGAGGGAGAAAGGGGGAGCCGACACATCCTTGAAAGGCAGAGATAATACTCTCCCTCCCTTAAGATCAATCTCCAATCATTTAGTTGGCTTGACTGCAGTCATTCACACCTTCAGCTGGATGTGGAACAGACTTCCCAACTTGTGCCTGGGATCCATGTGTGGATCTGCTAAGTAAGAACTGAGCAGTGGGCCAAGGGGCCTGGGGGCTGGTCCAAGTCCTTGCCTGTGAAGCTGTTTAGACTGTCGGGCTTGGTGGCAAAGGCCAGCTGGCTGTAACGTCATTCTCCTGGGCCCAAAGAGCGAGCAGCAGGGTGCACACAGCTCTAATAAACAAACTTGACTTCAGACAGCAGCTTCTTTTCCCTTCCTCTGAGAGACCCAGATTACTTTGTGCATTGCATTCACCTTAAGCAATGGAACACCCCACATACATTTCATGTTTCAGAGTCCATACTGGCAAAAGCTGCTGTTGCAAGAGTCTGGTTGCAAAACTGGCCCTAAACTTTCAAGGAAGGAGATAAATGGCTTTCAGCTGAAAAACATCGAAGACTCTTTTGGAGTTGTTTCTTGTTACAGTTTAGGATGAGGTCTAAGAAATTAAGCCAGACACAGGGGTGTGCACCTGTGATCCCAGCTACTCAGGTGGCTGGGGCAGAAAGATCAAGGCTGAGGCAGGAGGATCACTTGAGCTCAGGAGTTCAAGGCCAGCCTGGGCAACATAGCAAGACTCCATGTCTTACCAAAAAAGAAAGGAAAGGAAAGGAGGAAGAAGGAAGGAAAGAAGGAAGGAAGGAAGGAAGGAAGGAAGGAAGGAAGGAAGGAAGGAAGGAAAGAAATTAGCAAGATGTACATGGCTTTCAACTTCTGGCCCCTATCTGTCTCTAGCCTCATCTCCTGCACTTGCCTCACACTTTCTTTGTCAGTGGCTGTCACTTGCTGTGGACTCATGTTCACACAAACTGGACTATTTATTGCCTTTTGCTGGTCCTTTTGCCTTGGAAGCCTTCCCTGACTTCACGGCTCTCTTCTACTCCCCCTCTAAGCCTAAGACCAGGTGTCACTCTCTCAGTGATCAGTTAGGTGCTCCTCCTTTTGGCTCTCATGACACCTGCACTTTCTTCTGTGCACCTATGTTAAGGTTTCTTTCAGATTGTTTTATCATCTCTCCTTCTTGGGGGTGCAATCCCGTTTGTGTGTCTGTGGCTGCTCCCTCTCACGAATTCGTTTTCTCTCATGGCTTGGAATCTTTCCCATTAGCTGGTCTTCAGCAGGGTGATTCTCCATGGGTGTTTCAGCACCCTGGGATATGCAGGCATCTTTTAGCTTCCCATCAGCTTTTGCTGGGATCCTGTGGGCTTCAGGGCAGTGTTTACGTTCCATTCCTTGCCTGGAGTTCCTGCATGACTTCACACACTCACACAGTACGGGCTCAGCCTCGAACTGCTCACAGGCAACTCTTCTTCTTTCCACTGACCTGGGCAAAGTGCAGCTTCTGCTTTCCCAGACCGGATAACAGAGGGTTTGGGGTTTTGGCTTTTGGTTTTTTCACTTCTGGTTTAATGGATGGACAGTCTTCAGTGCCTTCTGGGTTTATATAAGAAGCTCAAGTTTAACTCCCCACCTCCAGGGGTCTGAAAGTTTCTAGCAGACTCATCTGGTGCTCCACTCACAAACTCTTGGCCTCACCTCTGATTCAGCCATGGCTGGGGTGGACAGTGCCATGTGGGCTTAGGTTCATTATATATGACAGTATCAGCCTCAAGCATATAACCAGGCCCCAAGAACCAGCTCCGTTCCCTCCCCAACCAGCCTCAAGAGCCTGTGATGGGGCAGGATCCACGGATCAGGTCTGGACCAAACAGGATGATTCCTTGGGAGAGCTGGGATCAGGCTTTGTCCAAGGGTTGGTTGTGAGTAATAGTTAGGGAGGCCTGGAGGCCAGAATTAGGGTTAACTCTGAGAGAATATAATCAAAGGTCAGGAATGAAGGGCAAGTTCAAGACTAAGCAGAGTTGAGGTCAAAGGAAAAGGCCAAGAAGGTTAGACCCAATGGTTAAGACTGCAAAGCTTGCTACGGTTGACATAGATAGGAATAAAGTGAGCATGTGTATTCTCATTGAATACTGGCAGTAGGATTGCTGGACAGCTGTTCACCTCACAGACCTAGGGTAGAGCAAAAACAAGCCTGGATTATCCCAGGGTAATGGAGTAAGGTGGTCACTAATAGACTAATAGAGCACAAATAGAACTAATAGAGCACCTGATGGCAATTCTGGCTTCAGGTTCAGGAAATCCTGAGTCTTCTCCAACAGACTGAGAGCCAAGGTTAAAGCAGGGGCCCCCTCCTGAGCTTTCCTTCGGGCCTGCCCCAGAGAAGCCCTGGCTGCTCCAAGTGACCGTTAGCTTTGCAAACACCAGAGTTCAGCCTGACACAGCTCCTCAAGGAACCCTGCAGGGTGAGGGCACAGAGAGATGAAATAGACCACTTAGAGTGGGGTGCCTCCGAGGTCAGAGAGGGAAAGGAAGGAAATCTTGCTCTCAAGGCAGGACAGCATATGAGAAAAGAACAAGGGCTGGAAAGGACAGCCAGATTGATGAAGCCCCTCCCTGCGGTCTTTGCTTGTCTTTGTTAATGAGTCATCCCTTTGCCAACGTCCAGGCAGAATGTGGGCACCTCTTTTGGCTTAGGCTCTTCTCTGTAAGGTCTTCCTGGCATTGGCAGGGGTTTGTTCTGCGCAGTTGGTGACCACAGTCATCAGCATCTTGCCTATTGTGGCCAACCACAAAAGTGCCTGGCTTTAGTTTTGTTCAACTTGCATTTTACCTGGCACTCATGCATGTTAATAGTTAATAATTAATAATTTCAATCTTACAAGCTATTAACAGGCTGGCAATAGCCAATTTTAACTGAGCTCTTACTGTGTTTCAGACACCAATCTGAGTACCTTATAAGTACTAATTCAATCTACAGCCACCCTTAGAGGTAGATGCTATTATTATTCCCATTTTATAGATGGGAAAAATGAGGCTTACAGAGTAGGTCCCTTGCCTAGTGAGTAAACAGTCAAGCCAGAACTGGAGCACTGGCAGACTGCCTTTCTTAGTCTGTTTTGTGCTGCTATGACAGAATATCAGAGACTGAGTAATAAATAAAGAACAGGAATTTATTTCTCACAGTTTGGAAGCCTGGGGAGTCCAAGATCAAGACGCCAGCATCTGGTGTGGAACTTCTTACTGTGTCCTCACATGGTGGAAGGCAGAAGGGCAAGAGAGAGAAAATCCATTCCCACAAGCCCTTTTTATAGTGGCATTAATCCATTTATGAGGGCGGAGCCCTTAGGATCTAAACACCTCCCCAAAGGCCTCACTACCCACCACTGTGGTGCTGGGGATTAAGTTTCCAACACATACATTTTGGGAGACACATTCGCTCCACAGCACTGGCCCCAGGGGCTGCACTCTTAACTAGTAGCCAATGCTGCCTCCCCAGGAGATTAGGAAAAATTAAACTCAGCGGACAGAGTCTTCTTCTGGGCCTATGCTAAATTTCAAATCAAAGAGGCTCAAATCCCAAAAGAAAAACTTATCTAGAAAAGAAGGAATGCCCCAGGGTCTGTTGTTCCCCTTTTTGTGTTCATGAGTTCTCATTATGTAGCTGCCACTTGTAGGTGAGAACGTGTGATATTTGGTTTTCTGTTTCTGTAGTTGTTCACTAAGGAAAATGGCCTCCAGTTCCATCCATTTTCCTGCAAAAGACATGATCTCATTCTTTTTTACAGCTGCATAGTATCCCATGGTGTATCTGTACCACATTTTCTTTATCCAATCTGTCATTGATGAGCATTTAGGTTGATTCCATGTCTTTAGTATTGTGAATAGTGCTTCAGTAAACATTCGTGTGCATATGTCTTTATGGTAGAATGATTTATATTCCTTTGGGTTTATACCTGGTAATGGGATTGCTGGGTCAAACCATAGTTCTGTTTTTAGCTCTTTGAGGAATCACCACACTGCCTTCCACAATGGTAGAACTCATTTACACTCCTGTCAACAGTGTATAAGTGTTCCCTTTGCTCCACAACCTTGCCAGCATCTGGAGAGGATCAGAAAAAATAACTATCGAGTACTAGGCTTAGTACCTGGGTGATAAAATAATCTCTACAACAAACCCCTGTGACACGAGTTTATCTATATAACAAAGCTGTACCTCTGAACCTAAGATAAAAGTTTTCAAAAAAATTTATAAAAACAACAATAATAAAGTAGGAATGAAAACAATAGAGAGCTTCTTTCCAGCTCTACTCATTCCCACTGGTGTGTCTTGATCAGTTGTGAGTTGTGTTACAAGTAACTGGTTCTTTAAAATAGCAATCTTTGTGATTAATTGGCTTGTAAAATAAGAATCCATATTCTGCCCATTACTGTGTTTCTCATACTCCCTCGCATTTCCATGTGCCTTCTCATTGGAGAAAGAGGTGATATTCTCAGTCTTTTCAAAATGTTTTGTTTTTAATTACAGAGAAAGTACTGACACATTTTATCCCCTTTCTTATTCACTTTTTCATTAATTTATTCACTCAGTACACGCTTATTGAGTGCTTACTACATATTCTAGGTGTTAAGGGTGCAACAGTGAGCAGGATGGATAATGTTCCTGCCTCTTGGAGTTTTCATTCTAGTATGAGGAAAAAGACAATAAACAAATAAACATACAACATGAGGGCAGGCAATACTAGAGGCCAGAAGAAAAACTAAAGAAGTGTGAGGAAACAGAGACTGGGTGGTAGTGATCAGGGAAGATCAGTTATAAACACTGTGGTGAATTAACTATATATTCTTCTAGGTTATATATGCATACATTTATTAAAAGTATGTATACCTGTGACAATACATATAACTTTTCAAATTTACATAAATAAAATCACATTGTATTGGAGGAAACTTCTGCTTCTGGGAAGATAGACATACTTCTCCCTGTTCCTCCCACAGAATGCAACTAGAAACACTGGACATTATATATAAAACAAATGTAACACTGTAAAAGATGAAGCAAAGGCAGACCGGCTAGAGACCTCGGGACCTAAGGAATGCCACGGTAGTGAGTTCCCTGGGTTTTCTCTTCGCTTCATAGATCCCAGACTTGGAGCTGAAGAAGCCAGCTACCTGGAAATGCTGAATTCAGACTAAAAAAAAAAAAAAAAACTCCACAAAAAGACTCCTCTCTCTAGCCAAGAAACCAGGAAAGAGGCAGCCTAGCAAGACAAGAAGCTTTCAGACAACTGTCTACTCCAGCCAAACACCACAGAAAATACCGCAGGCTCACCCCGACTCGTGCCAGCAAATACAGAGTGGGGAGCCTAGACCTCTAACATCTGCCAAGCTGTAAAGGAAGCCCACTCTGTCCAGGGTGATGTCAGAGAAGGCCAAGTAGGGAGCATCCCTGGTGGGTGGCAGTGAGACCTTCCCACCATATCATGTCCCCACATCAGTGGAGACCACATGGAAAGTCTGGACTTCCACCCCTGTGAAGGGTAAAACAACTTTATCCTGGATGCTAACCCCAGTTGTGGGGATGCTTCTGAGATTTCCTTCACATACTTACTAAATCCTGCCCTTAGGTCAAACAACCTTAATGTTATCCTGTACTACCATATTTGGGATTAAGAAAAGAGGTGTGTGTGTGTGTGTGTGTGTGTGTGTGCATGTGTGTGTGTATGTGTGTATACATATATGTAATCAGTGGAGGCCTACTGGGCATCAGTGGAGGCCTACTGGGTATCAGTGGAGGCCTGCTGGGGAACCCTAACCTACTCTCCACCCGCAAACAGTCACATAAGGGGAACCCCTCCTGTATCTGGATGTTAATGAGGCCAATCTAAGTGATATACCTAGACTTTTCTGCCACTCACCTGGCCATTAAATAGTGGCCATCTCCCAACTGGTGGGTCCTTCCCCAGCAATAGTGTGTCAATAAAGGTAGCCAGCTAAAACGAATAGTTCGCAGTAGTCTCATAATATCCAAAAGGATTTTTTTTTTTTTTTTTTTTCTTCTAATCTGTTTCAGTGAAAAGCACATAGTACAGCACTCAAGAACCAGAAATCTCTAACTTGAGTGAGAAACAGACAAACAGTAGATGTCCAACACCGATAGTATGACACAGATGACTTAAAAACCAACATGGCAAAAGATTTTAAAAACAGCTTATCCTACCGACACTTCAGATCAATTGAGCATTCAAACATGCTTGAAAACAAACATTTCATCAAAGAAATGGAAGAATAAAGCCAAGGGAATTAGAACTAAAATATACAATACCAGACAAAAAAAAAAAAAAAAAAAAAACCTCAATTGATGGGTTCAATAGCAGAATGGAGGGTCCAAAGGAGAAAAATCAGTGAACTGGAAAGACAGAACAATAAATTGCACAAACTGAACAACACAGAGAAATTAGGCTGAAAAATAAATGATCGGTGCCTCAGAGACTTTGGGACTACAAAAAAAAAAGGTTCTAACACTGTGTCATTGGAATCTCAGAAGCAGGGTAGGACCTGAAAAAACACCTAAAAGAAATAATGACAGAAAATAACCAAATCTGGCAAGATTAAAACCTACAGGTTAAAAGGCTGAGCAACTCCTTAACAGATAAACCTAAGAAATTCATAGCAAAGACATATCATCGTCACACTTTTAAAAACTCAAGACATTATCCTGAAATTTGTTTTTGCTGTTGTTGTTGTTTTGTTTGTGTGTTATTGATACAACATAGTAACCATTCCTTCACAAGGTTAATTATTCTACAGTAAGGAATTACACCAAATCCAGTGGCTTACCAATAGTAAGTGTCCATTTCTCACTCATGTTACATGTCTGCCTCCGATGTGCTTCATTCTTCCAAGGGCACAGGCTGAAGAGCAACCTATACCTCCAGTCCTTTCAGGCGGAGATAAAGAGCAAAGACAGGGCCGGCGTCGTGGCTCAAACCCATAAACCCCAGCACTTGTTGAGCTGAGAGGGTGGATCACAGGTTCAGGAGAATTGAGACCATCGTGGCTAACATGAGAACCCCCGGCTCCCACTTAAAAATACAAAAAATTATCCGACCGGGGTGGCAGGCGCTATGCCAGCTACTCGGGGAGGCTGGGCAGGAGAATGGTGCGGAACTTGCCGAGGCGGAGCTTGCAGTGAAGCCGAGTTCCACACACTGCACTCCAGCGCTGAGGTGACAGGGCAAGACTCATCTCCAAAAAAAAAAAAAAAAAAAGCAATGCTGAATATGCAAGGACTCTCAAAACATCTGCTCAATATGGCTATATGTTCTATCCTCACGCCAAAAAAGTCACACAGCCAAACCCAATGCCAGGAGAGAAATGGACTCCATCTATTCTAACAGGAGATACTGCAAAGTCATATAACAAAGTATGTGGCTGCAAAATCCAAACACAGGAAGAGAGTGAAGAATTGAAAACAAGAATCCAGTCTACCATGATCTGCACACTGGATCATAAATATTCATTTCCTTCCTGGCTGCTGGGAAAAATATACTCATCCTCTTCCCCAAGACACCCCAAAAGACTTGTCCAATGATTGAATTGACATTATGTCCAGGATCTCACGATCAATGCCAGATCTTGATTCAACTTCTCTTGGAGACCTGTGAATTTGAAAGACAAATTATCTGTCCCACCCACTCCCAACATAACAGTAGTGGAAGAGAAACAGGAACAGAGATAGGAAACACACCGAATACTCCTGTTTAAAGGGGAAAGAGTGCCTGATCTGGTTGTGGGGCAACCAAGAAGTCTTCCAGAAGCAGGGGAGTAAGCCACTGTAAAATTATAAGGAATAAAACCATATCTGCATTTTAGGCTAATCTGGAGGAAAATCTTTAAATTTTTTAATGGTGGCATTGTTTACAAAGTGTCATTAAGACAATGTTCACATGCTTGGAGTTTGAACATATCTAAAGAACATAACAACAACAACCACCTAACCAAAGAGGATCCCAAATTAAGGTGAGAGAAAATTGATTGTTATAACAGAAACAAGCGGCTCAAGGATGGAAGGCATGCTGCTGCTGCCTTTCCTATACCCTCACCTATCACCCACCTACTCCGGCCACAGAAAGTATGCTTTAGTCATTGCTATTTCCAGTCATCTTTGACGCATCAAGTTGAGCAGAGCCCAGTTTTGGAAGGTGATGTTCTAAGAGCATACCAGCTCAGAATGTTGACCCATGCATTGTGATTTAGAATGTTAGGGGATATGGCACCAAACCTGGCACATGATAATCTGTAATGTATCCACTCATTTGGCACCAAAGGCTACTTATGGAAAGAGAGGTTGGTCCTGATTGTTTTTTCAAGTGCTTCTACACTACAGAAAAGTAAGAACATCATGGAGTACTGAATGAAAGTGACTGCACGTAACCAAGATGTTCAATAGCAGAGAAATGAGTTAAACAACGGTATATTCATAGGATAAAATATTATGGAATTAAAGATGGTTTCAAAGAAATTTTAATGACCCAGTATAAATAGACATATACATTTGTGTACATGCACACAGCCTGTTGTTCCATCATCCACTCACATATTAGAAAAATACTCTATGGGCCAGGCTCATGCCTGTAATCCCAATAGTTTGGGAGGCTGAGGTGGGAGGATTGCTTGAGCTCAGGAGTTCAAGACCAGCCTGGGCAACATAGACCCTGTTTCTTCAAAAACATTTTAAAAGTTAGCCAGGTGGGTGGTACATACCTGTAGTTTCAGCTACTCAGGAGGCTGAAGTGGGAGGATCACATGAATCCAGAAGATTGAGGCTACCGTGGGCCATGATTGCATCACTGCACTCTAGCCTGGAGGACAGTGAAACCATGTCAATAAAGAAAAGAAAAGAAACAAAACGCTATTACTGAATGTACCAAAGTGTAACCAAAATGCAGCTGCTTGCAGAGTCCAACTAACAAGAATGAGGTCTGGTATAAAGAAAGTGACTTTTATTCCAATGCTAACTTAGGAGAACACATGCAGACTTCCTGCCTTAGGGGTACCACTTCACTTTTGGAGCAGAAAGTGCGTGCTTTTAAAAGGGGGCTTTGCATGAATGGCACACAGGAGAGGAAGTGAGCAGCTGGGGTTCCACATAACTTGCTTTGGTGCCTTATCTAGTGGGTAGCCGAGCTGGTGACCACTGGTGCCTTTGTGGGCAGAACTATATTGTAAAGGTGGCCAAAATGCTCCAGGTGGGACAGAGTTTTGCAGTGGGCATATTTTGGGATGTAAATTAACTGTTGTCTCTTAAGACAACCTCCTGGCTGGAGAAAGCTTCACAGCAGAGCTTCTTAGGACAAAGTTAGATGCACTTGCCCTGTAGGGAGTGTCTGGTGAAAGGGAGGTAAAAGGTTATAATTGCATTTCCAAAGAGCTAAGTAGAAAGTGGGGAAAAGGGGGAAAGAGAATAGAAAAAAATTTTTTAATTATTCATTTTATCTCTTAGAAAAATGGATGTACTCTGTTTCAACTCCTCGCTGCCAAGTTCCATTCCATGTCTATGGGATTCGGGCACTGTATTCATTCTAGCTAAGTACTTACTGCAAATGGAGACACAGCCACTGAGCACCAGAATGGAACTAATCTACTTGGGGTTGGAAATATTCATGAGTACCTGGACTTACTCATGATGATGATATTTGTTGGAGCATTATGGTGCAAGATCTAGAAAGTTTCTGGGAAAGCCCGCCTTGCATTCTTTCGGAGAGGGTACAACAACAGTAAAATCCACAACGTGGAAGTCTGCTTATTTTTGCACAAGGACCAAAGTCATAAGTAGCTTCTGCCACCAAAATAGTCCTGACCTGAATCAGGATGATCTAGCAACAGTGTTGGATCAGACATAGCTTTGATTCGTTGGTTTATGTCTTGGACGGTGATACAGTTTGGCTCTGTGTCCCAACCCAAATCTCATGTTGAATTGTAATCCTCAATGTTGGAGGAGGGGCTGGATCATGAGGGTGGACTTCTCCCCTTGCTGTTCTCATGACAGTGAGTTTTCGTGAGATCTGGTTCTTTGAAAGTGTGTAGAACTTCTCCCTTCTCTCTCTCCCTCTCCCCTGCGGCCCATATGAAGATGTGCCTGCTTTCCCTTCGCCTTCTCCTATGACTGTAAGTTTTCTGAGGCTTCCCCAAAAGCAGAAGCCTGTACAGCCCACAGAACCATGAGCTGATTAAACCCCTTTTCTTTATAAATTACCCAGTCTCAGGTATGTTTTTATAGCAGTGTGAGAACTGACTAATATACACGGTTATCAAGACATCTCCTGAATTATTTGGGATGAATATGCAGCAATTAGTCTTAATAATTAAGCCAACTGTAATGGATATGATGACAGGTTGGCTAAATATATATTTACCAAGTTACAGGAAGAGCTATGACTACTCATGATAGTGGTCATAAGCCCTGTCTAGTTCTTGAGAATAGATCGGTTTAATTAGCTGTGTCCCATCCAGGAGGTGGCACTGCAGATGGGCTAGGCCTCTGTATGTGATGAAGGCAGATTTTCAGTAAGAGCCATTTCTATGAAAACAGAAGAAAAACAAAGGTTAACGTTGGGCACATTTTATCCAGATGTTGGACTCAAAGCACCTTTAGTTACAGAGGAGGAAGGTGGTTAGCTGTCTGACATGTTTTTCTTGCCTATGTTACAAGGAATAACATAGTAGTAATTCATTGAGCCCAGATTTTAAAAATGGGAGAAAAATTTGAAAACATTAGCTTGGGGATCTGTAGCCTGGAAAGAATTGATCATCTAGTCCAAACTGCAGAAAGAAAAAAGATTTTCCAGACTCCGAAAAACAAACGAATTAGCAATGTTTTAAACAAGTCTTAAAAATATTATTTCAGTCTTCCATCAGTTCAGTCTATGTAATTAACTTATGTTCTGCTCAATATTCATGAACACATTAGCTCTCTATGGGAACGCTGAAAGTTTTCCCCTCTATTCTAATGTCAAAATCTCCCAAGTTACCAGAAACCTGCATTCAAGAGCATCTGTCAGAGTGCTAGAGCTGATTATAACACTGCCTGTGAAAAACATTAAAGTAAAATAACAATTATGGAAGACAAGTCTCAAAACAGTCACAGTTAAAGTCTGGTCATCTCTGCGGGACACAATAATTTGACATAATAGCTCTCTCTTGCTCGATCCTGCTTTCGCCATGTGAAGCGCCTTCTTCCACTTCACCTTCTGCCATGATTGTAAGTTTCCTCCTCAGAAGCTGATGCTGGACTTATGCTTCCTGTAAAACCTACAGAATTATGAGCCAACTAAACCTTTTTTCTTTATAAATCACCCAGCTTCAGGTATCTCTTTACAGCAGTGCAAGGGTGGCCTAAAACAGAAAATTGGTACTGAGGGGTGGGGCATTGTTATAAAGATACCAAAGATGGGGAAACAGCTTTGGGACTGGGTAATGGGCAGAGGTTGGAAGAGTTTGGAGTGCTCAGAAGACAGAAAGATGAGGGAAAGTTTGGAACTTCTTAGAGACTGGTTAAAGGGCTGTGACCAAAATGCTGATAGTGATATGGACAGTGAAATCCAGGCTACTGAGGTCTCAGCTGAAAATGAGGAACTTATTGGGAACTGGAGCAGAGGTCATACATCTTGTAACCTTAGTGAAGAGCTTGGCTGCATTCTGTTCATGGCCTAGGGATCTGTGGAAGTCTAAACTAAAGAGTGAAGACCTAGGGTATCTGGCAGGAGAAATTTCTAAGCAGCAAAGCCTTTAAGATATGTCCTGGCTGCTTCAAACAGCCTATTATGCTCAGATAGAGGAGCAAAGGGATGACTTAAACTTGGAATTTATATTTAAAAGGGAAGCAGAGTGTAAAAGTTTGGAAAATTTGTATCCTGGCCATGTGGCAGAGAAAGAAAAAGCCTTTTGGGGGAGAATAATTCAAGCAGGCCATGAAGCAACCACTTGCTAGAGAAATTTGCACAACTAAAAGGGAGCCAAGTGACACTAGCTAAGACAAAGGGTCAACGGCCTTGAAGGCACATCAGAAAACTTTGCTGCAGCCCCTCTCTTCAGAGGCCTGGAAGCCTAGGAGGGAAGAATGGCTTCTTGTGGGTCAGGCCCAGAGCCCCATTACCCTGTGCAGCATTGGGACACTACTCCTTGCATCCGGGAAGCTCCAGTTCCAGCCTTGGCTTAAAGGGCTTCAGATACTATTCATGCCACTGCTTCAGAGAGCACAAGCGCACTGTAAGCCTTGGTGGCTTCCATGTGTATTAAGCCTGCAGGTGCACAGTGCAAGGTGAATGAGGCTTGGCACCCCCCACCTAGATTTCAGAGAATGCAAGAGAAAGCTTGGGTGCCCAGGCAGAAGCCTGCTGCAGGGGGCCCCCACAGAGAACCTCTACCTAGGGTAGTGCAGAGGGCAAATGTGGGGTTGGAGGCCCCACACAGAGTTCTCACTGGGGCACTGCCTAGTGGATCTGTGGGAAAGGGGGCCACCATCCTCCAGGTCCCAAAGTAGTAGATCCATTGGTAGCTTGCACTCTGCACCTGGAAAAGCTGCAAGCACTCAACAACCTGTGAGAGCAGCAACAGGGCTGAACCCTGCAAAGCCATAAGGGTGGAGCTGCCCAAAGCCTTGGGAGCCCACCCCTTGCACCAATGTGCCCTGGATATGGGACCTGGAGTCAAAGGAGATTATCTTGGCACCTTAAGACTCAATGATTTCCCTGCTGGGTTTTTAACCTGCATGGGGTCTGGAGCCCCTTTCTATTGGCTGATTTCCCGCTTTGGGAATGGGAATGTTTACCCAATGCCTCTATCCCACCTTGTATCTTGGAAGTAAATAACTTGTTTTGATTTTACAGGCTCATAGTGGGAAGGAGATGAGTCTCAGATGAGACTCTGCATTGGACTTGGGACTTTTGAGTTACTGCTAGAATGAGTTAAGACTTTGGGGGGACTACTGAGAAGGAATAATTTTATTCTGAAATGTGAAAAAGACATGAGATTTGGGAGGGACCAGGGGTGGAATGATATAGTTTGGATATTTGTCCTCACCCAAATCCTATGTTGAATTGTAATCTCCAGTGTTGGAGGTGGGACATGGTGGGAGGTGACTGGGTCAAGCGGGCAGATTTCTCATGCATGGTTTAACACCATCTCCTTGGTGCTGTTGTCATGATAGTGAGTGAGTTCTCGTGAGATCTGGTCGATTAAAAGTGGGAGACACCTCCCCCTCCACTCTCTCTCACTTCCTTTTGTTTTTGCCATGTGAAGTGCCTGCTCCCACTTCACTTTCTGTCATGATTGTAAGCTTCTTGAGGCCTCTCCAGAAGCTGATACCTGTACAGCCTGCAAAACCATCAGCCAATTAAACTTCTTTTCTTTATGTATTAAAAAATAATTTAACATAATCATATTTACTGACAACATATACTGAGACATACCAGAATTATAGGAATCTTATACAATTTTGGAACACATGCTAATAACATATTTACATGAATATAACATGAAGAAAGTCAAACACCATTTTACATTTGACATTTTTTCCTGTATGGTTTTAATACACCAAATAAGACAAATATGTCTCTTTTGGACTACAGGGTACCTAATATCTAAAAGAGTTAACTAGACTTTTTAAAGGGCTTAATTTAGAATTTGACTTTAAGATGCTTGTCAAATATCAGAGGTTTAAACATTTAATATTATAAAATAGAATCCCAGGTCCACTATAAGTCATTTATTTAGCCAAAATGATAATTCGAAAAACTTTTAAAGGCAAAAATCTTTACTTGTTGATAAAGGAGAGATTCAGCCTTCTAAACAAGACCCAATAAATACAGCATGAGACCAACTGAATCTCTTTTCTTTCCCCTGTCACTTATTTAAGAAGCAAACAAAAATCTTTCATTATCTTTCACAGAAATCTTGTTGAAAAAAGAAAGCAAAGTTCACTTTTGCATTAGTGTACTACTAATGTTAAATCCAATTCTTGATAAAACCTCATAAATAAATCTATCCAATCTTACTTAATTTGACCATAAGGTAAAATTTCCATAAATGTTTTATAACCCTTTTGCAATTTTCTGTGAAAGAACAGATCAATGCTCTAAGAAAACCCTGCTATCCAGACAGATGGGCCAAGATTCTGGCACTGCATCACTGTGCTTTTATTTTAATGTTTAATTTACAGAAAAACTGAATAATCCCCTTCAAATTTTAGCCAACTGGCTCATACTCAGAGAACTTCTTTTACAAGATCAATCTTTCACAAATATTTTAAAACTTGTTTAAACCTTCAGTTTTGTCCTATTACTCTTCTAGGTTAGGACAATCCTTAAAAACTTCTGAACTAAACAAAACTACATTCCCTTTAACGAAAACCGTATTTCCATGCCTTCTTATAACATTTTATCAAAAACACATTTGACTTTCCTTATACACCTTGCATGTAAAACTGTTTCTCCAGTAGCCTCAATTAGATGTTACAATGTCAACTCTCAGCAACTTTTATTTTTGGTGAAAAACCTGGTAAGTAAGCAAATTTAACCATACATCAGATTGTAGAGTCCAGGACAAGGACAGAGCTGCAGGCAAGGTGTGACCCTTCCCAGCCTAGGCTGAGGGGCTAACTCTATATGTCCCTAGGCTTTATTTAGAATCTCATGGCCATAAGAGACAAGTCAAATAATTAAGTCATGGAAGCAATTTATGACCGTAAAGCATCTAGCAAACAGTATCTGACCTGCCTAATTTAGACCAAATGTCTACATTTTGAAGACTTTACTTTATTGATAATCTTTAAACTGTATTTACCAAAGATTAAAGTCACATGAGCATTAAAGTTGCTATTTTTCTGACAATATATTTGAGTTAAGCACTTATTATTTTTCAGCCCATTAATTAGAACCCTTTCATAAGTTTTGGTAGTGAAACATTGCACATGACACATAATGAATAGACATACATAGACATACAGAAGCAGATCTGGTAGGGGGTGATAAAAGGTTAGATACAAGAGGAATGAGGGCCAGACAAGAGTAAATGAAGAATCAGACAGAATTCTGTTGACTAAGAAGTTTTTAGAGGGAAAGCAGGGGCCTTAAGACATTATCCATACATATAAAACGCAAACACCAGTCTAAATTGATTTCTAACTGTAGAACTCTCAAAAGAAAAATATTTTAAAAACCTCGGTCAGGGCGGCCTGTTGGCATCCACCTGTAATCAAGCACTTTGGGCAGGCTGAGGTGGGCAGATCACCTGAGGTCCAGTTGATGTTCTGGACCAGCCTCTGGCCCAACATGGGCAAATCTCGTCTCTTTATCAAAAAATACACATAATTAGCCTAAGGCAGGGGTGGGTGCTGTATTCCCAGTCTATCTCAGTGAGCTGAGTGGAGGATTCATGTGCCCAGGAGTGAGGCCAATGGTTGCCATGATTATGCCACTTACACCTCCAGCACTGCGGTGGACAGGTGAGACACCCTGTATTCAAAAAAAAAAAAAAAAAATCTATTATTATCAGATTTTAGCCAGGCAAACCAGCTGTATATTTCGGCTTTGAAATTTATGTACTGGCCTTTTTTTAAATTAAAGGTTACCTCCTATGTGACATCAAGTTAGCCTGAGGATATGACAACCACAGGTGCACAAGGTAGTTTCAAAGGGATGGCAAATGGTTTTTACCTAGAATTGCCCCAAAATATAGCTCAGAGAATGGAAAATTTTAAGATAGGAAATCAGAAGCTGTCCATGGAGGGAAAAAGTATTAACAAACGGCAAACGGTCACAGAAATAACAAAGCAGAAAGGACTCATTCCCTAAGCCAGAAGTGGAACCCAAGCCTCCACTGTAAAAGAGCAAAGCTTTGGCTGGGCACGGTGGCTCACGCCTGTAATCCCAGCACTTTGGGAGGCCAAGGCAGGCAGATCACGAGGTCAGGCGATCGAGACCATCCTGGCTAACACGGGGAAACTCCGCCTCTACTAAAAATACAAAAATTAGCCAGGCGTGGCGGTGGGCGCCTGTAGTCCCAGCTACTCGGGAGGCTGAGACAAGAGAATGGCATGAACCAGGGAGGCGGAGCTTGCAGTGAGCTGAGATTGCGCCACTGCTCTCCAGTCTGGGAGACAGAGTGAGACTCCGTCTCGGGAAAAAAAAAAAAAGCAAAGCCTCAGCTACTGAGCTACAACATGGGACAGGTGCCACTGCTCTTCCCAGAAGGTCCTAGAGCAGTCACTGTTGAACTTACAAAGAATTTTAACTGCTCACAAGAATTAAGGGTAGACACTGCATTATCACGTGCCCTTTTTAGACCCAAGAGTCAAAGCCGTGTTTTGTTTTTTTTTTTAAGATGGAGTCTCGCTCTGTCACCTAGGCTGGAGTGCAATGGCACCATCTCGGCTCACTGTAACCGCCGCCTCCCAGGTTCATGCAACCCTCTCGCCTCAGCCTCCCAAGTGGCTGGGATTACAAGCGTGTGCCAACAAGCCCAGATAATTTTTGTATTT